AATAGGGTTGTTTATTACATTATTTGCGATTCTACGTGTTTTAATAATCACAGGAGATGGTACAGTGAAAGGTCAAAAAGAAAAAAAAAGTGAAGACAAATATTGTGGGAGACACCCGGACTCGAACCATGGATCTCGAGGATGGAAGTCAAGTGCGTTACCGATTTACCAAAATATTTCCCATAGCGATTACACGTAAACGGGAAATGGAATTATCAAATCCTACTTTGCAAGTGAAATATGAGCATAATCCCGGCATCTGATCGAAAAATAAAAGGCACACGTGTGATAGCTTATTGTCTCAGCTACAACATATTCGAAGCTCAGCGAAAACGAAGCTAAAATAAGGGAGATTTTGCTCGCGAAAGACAGGAGTGTAGAATCCAGTTTTGAGAAAAAGTCATGTCCCATAGAGAATACACGCAAAATGTGAAAAATTGACATGCCTCCTTTAATTGCAAAAGTACGCCTTGATGCCTTAGTCAAAATGAAAAATTGTGGCCACTATATCTGTAGCGAAATGTCTCAGCTAGAACATATTAAAATTTAAAAGAAAATTGATCAATATTTACAGAGATAAAATCAATTTTCCAAAAATATGCTGACGTCATAATATGCAAATTAAAATTTTGAGTTCGGAGGCCATTATGATAACATTATGACTTAATTGAGGGTCAAATGAGACATGAAATCGTATCTCCATTTCATAATCTATCCAAATATGAAAAAATATTAGGAGTTTCTATCTATTCTAAAGAGTTACAATGAATTTTATATAGGCATGTTTTTGCCCATGTATTGTGGATAAAGATAACACAAATCCGCGCGTGCTGTCAACTTTGACGGACGCTCATTGCGTTATTAAAAGATGAACAAGTTATCAAAATGCTTGGAAAAATGTACCAATTAAGATGATAGAGAAAATTCGGCGATTCTATGTTGCAAAATGCTAGTACGCGCAAAAAACGCGCGCGCATGCGCGTGAGCGTGATTTTTTGTCAAATGCTCCATATGGCCTGAAACGTATGCAAAAAAAAATTGGGATGATTTAGAGCATTTTAAATTTTTGCGCGCGTGTAAACCCGCGGACGAACGCGCACGCGCGCATTTGCGCTCGTTTATTGACCTGAAATTGACCGGACGGATATTGATCTTATTCATGATAAATATGAATGAAAAATTACTTTCCGTTATGAAGATATGATCATGAGTTGATTTTTACAAAATGGCGCATGGATGACGTCACGATGACTTTGACTCTCTAAAAAGTCACGCAGTTCTAAGTTAGACTAAGATCTATCATCAATGTGAGTTTCATGATAATGGCTTTATTCAATCTTGAGATATCCTGCGAACAAATTCGAGGAAGAATAATAATAATAACTAGACTTTAATTCGTCACTTTGACGAATTAGGTGATACGTATGATATTGGTTTAAATTAAACGAAGAATGCATTACACGATATCATATTATTTTATAAAATGCTCCTCCCATTATGATCTATCCATATGTCAAGTTTCAGTTGTGTCGATCCCTTGATCATTATGGATCTAGGGAAGATAGATTGAGACAATATATGACCATTGACTCTGTGTAGTAACCAGTTACACCTTTGACTCTAATTTACATCATGAAGAACGCATTTTGACGATTTTATTTTATTCAAAGAAATGAAAATGTAATTGATAAATAAGAGCTTATGCCTGAATAATTAAAAGTGAATAGTGTATGACGTCACGATGTCCCGGCGTAAATGAAAAGTCAAAATAAATGTGGGAATACATTAGCGATCATTTTGAGTTGTCGACGTGAGATTCGCTAGTTGCTTGAAAATATAGTCTTTAAATATCGGATGGATATATACTGTCACTGTATAAGGAATGTGGAATAGAGGGATATTGATCTGTCAGTCTTTCTCGAAGGCTTGTCAATTAAAGGAATACAAAAAATTGAATGTATTGCGCTCAAGAAATTACATACAGCATTGCCAGTAAATTTCACGAGATCAATGTTAAAATCTCCCATTATATAAACCTGTTTATGTTCAGTATAAGTTTTCTGTAAAACATTATTAAAGACAGGGATGAAATCATTGATATTTGATTGGGGTTTTCTATATATGACACCTACAATAATATTCTTATGTCTCGGCAAGTTGCTTTCAATAAACAGTGATTCATAATTGTATGATGCGTATAATATAAATATATCATTGCGTATTTCATATTCAAAATTGTCAACGACCAATAGACCAACACCTCCACTCTTTCCTACTTGGCGATTAGAATGTATGAATGAATAACCAGACACATTGAATAATAGTGGCGTACTGTCATTAATCCAAGTTTCAGAGAATTCTATACATAAAGTATAGATGAAATTGGATAAAGCATTACAATGTTTGTTTAAACTTCGCGAATTAAAATGTAAAATACTGAAATGATAGTCAATGTTACTGAATTCAGTCGTAAAATCCTCATCAATATAATATTTACAGTTCAGAAACCTACTGAAATGAAACTCATATTCTTTTTCGGATAAATAGTTTAAATCATTGATATAAGTATAAGTATCTGTAGTATTACTACCAAATATTGAATGAAGTTCGTCATTATTCAAGTCTTGAATAGGAAATGAACAATGAGAACAGAGTGGGTTATTAATGTAGCCAAATGCTCATGTTCCCTATAACGCTCATTTTATGTATTTTATTACCAGAGAAACAAAGATGTCAGTCAGTCACTCAATAGTGTCTGACAGTAAAGAGTAGAAAGTGAAAGGGTTTCTTTACATAATTTGAATACGAGGACACTGCTAACGTTTAAGTTTCACATATACGTGACATATTCATCATTTCACCATTCAACTGAAAATTGTGACATGATCTCATCATCTGATCAAAAAACTAAAAGCACCGTTTTTATAGCCCATGGTCTCAGCTATAACATACCCAAATTCGGGAGAAAACAGAGCACAAATAAGATAGATAGTGCTCAAAGATGAATGTCATGTAGATTCATGATGTGAACGAAATTCACCTTCCATAGACATAACACGCAAATTAAGAAAATTCTGACATGTGGCCTTTAATTGAATTTTGTACTATGATGCCGTCATTAAAATGAAATTTAGTGTGTATTGATCTTGTAGACAATTGCCTCGACTACAACATATCAAAATCTAAAAGGAAATTAATGAATATTGAGAAAAATACACACATTTTCCCATAAATATAATGACGTCATAATATGCATTTTTGTATTTTGACTTCCAAGGCCATTATGATGACGTCAAGATGTACTTAATGGCCAAATGAGATATGAAATCATACCTCCGAATCATACTCTATCTAAATATGAAAAAAAAAATTGGCAGTCCTTATTCATCCCAATGGACTTTATATAGGCATGTTTTTGCCCATATATGCTATGTATTGCAAAAAATCGCGCGTACGGACGGTTATTTTGAACGGACGCTCATTCCGTTATTAATAGTGATGAAGAGATAAACATGGTATCAAATTGTTCGGAAAAATATGAGGAATATTGTGTCAAAAGTTTTTGCTGAGGAATTATTTTTCGTTCGGCCGTGACGAACGAAAACGTGCAAAAATGCGTGTTTTGCGTGATTTTTTATGAAATGCTTATAATGGCCTGAAACGTATGCAAAAAAAATTTAAGACGATTTTGAGCAATTTAAAATTGTACGCGCGCGTTAACGCGCGCACAAACGCGTACGCGCATTTTTGCGTGCATTGATCGGAAATTGACTGGACAAATATTGACCTTGATCGTGATAAGTATGAATGAGAAATGGCTTTCTGTTATGAAGATATGGTCATGAGTTGATTTTCACAAAATGGCGCCTAGATGACGTCATGATGACCTTGAGTCACTGAAAAGTCACGCAGTTCTAAGTTAGACTGGGATCCATCATCATAGCGAGTTTCTTGACACTGGGTTCATCCATTCTTGAGATTTCTTGCGAACAAAATCGAGGAAGAATAATAATAATTTTTTGTGAATAATAAAAATCTTGACGAGATCAATAGGTGATACGTATACTTCGTACGTATCACCTAATAAACATACAAATAAAGAGATCAGATATGGTATTATCAGCCATTGTGACGTTAAAAAAAATCAATGAGTGCCATACATTAAGGATAAAAGAATGGGATGAGTAACATAGCCGACTATACTATTTTAACAGAAAAAAACCGTCAGAAATTGGATTTTACGGGTCGCCAAACTATGCCACTACCTTAAAATCATCATGGCGAACATTTACTATTATAATACTTCTCGCCTTCATGTTGAGCGTCTCATGCTTAAGAAAGATATCCTATACTTCGAGTCACTGTTTGTGTTATTAGATCGGCCCTGAATTATAGTTGGTCGAAAGAAAAATATGATATAGGACCTTTAAGACGCTGGACCAATGAGACGTGGGATCAAAGGAACATGGGAGCAACTGAGCATATGACTGGTGAGGTGTAGGAGCAATAAGATACAGGACCAATGTGACATAGAGCCAACGGGACATAGGACATAGAGCATTGGGCATGTAGGAGTTTGGACCATAGTGACAATTGGCCCTGAATTGGGACGTAGGACCAGTGGGACTTAAGACAACTGGCACGTTTGGTCCTGGAAGTAGACGTAGGAGCAGTGCGAGATAGGACATATGGGATGTACAACCATTTGGGGGAAACGTTCTAGAATTCGTTACACCAGCTGCTCCTGTAAGGTGTCAGTCAGCACCACTTTAAACCAGTAGTACACTTTACAGTGTGAGTAAACACCTTCATGATAAGCACATTTTTATCTAAATATATAAATACAAAATACCTAAAAAAGAGCAGCTGCTATAAAATCACTCTTTTTTGGAGCCACCTTTTCTGGACGTGTTGAACGAGTGTTATTTGCGACTATGCACATTTACCCCCTTCAATCTTGAGATGGATCTCATCATGAATAATTTACAAGTCATACGTACCTCCTTCAACATGCATGTCTGTTGTTGTGTCCCACCACCCCGCTGTTGTAACATCAGGGTCATCGGTAGTTGGTTCTGAAATATGATAATTAAAAACGTACATGACAATCCATCAAAGAAGAGAAAAGGTCATACTAATTTGATCCGTTTGCTAAAATATAAGTGATACACAAAGTTGAAACAAAGTTGAAACGATATAGGAACCAATATTATCATTTATTTCTTTTCTAGATAATTTGTTATGTTTCAGTAACCTTGGAAACTTATTACTCCAACAAGTTGTCATTCCGTACAACAGCTAGAACACATAATTTCAACTTTCTGAAAAATTTCAGGAAAAAAAAACAATATATGTATTTTTGAAGTTCATTTGTAAATCAAGGTAACTACATGTATTTACATTTTTAGGTTTGCGGAGAATACAAATGGAAATTTGTTCATGTATTTTATCAATTATATTCATTGATTGCAAATTGCGTGTTTTTTTCTTCTTTCAAATATTCTACGTCATGAGCAATACAGCTCATGAATCGTGGTCTTGTGTATCCATCACCAAACTATGGATCACATGGTTCGCGGTTCGAGTCCCGCCGCGGCTCTATTGTCCTATTTATCGAAATTTCTACTCATAGGCATACCAATAATTCAGGTGGACTTTTCTTCTCAGTTTAAAGTAAGGTCACTACAAAGTGACCCCTAAATTTCAAAATTGCAGATTTTAACTACATGTATGGGCCTCCCTATAACTGATACCCTTTTTACACAGAGTAAACAGTCTTCTGGCTGCAAACTGACAGAAAGTAGCAATCTTTATTCAATGGTCTATCAATTAAAGAAGTATTGAAGTATGCATTGTACAAGCAATGTATAAATATACAACTGTATGTTACTAGATTTATAGAGAATATATTAGTAGTATAGGTGTACGTATAGCGTCATACTAATCCCTATTGTTTACAAACAATAGAAATATGAATTATGATATGATCCTATTGTTTACAAACAATGGAATATGAATTATGGAAATATGGATCAATAATTATGGAAATATGAAATATGAAATATGAAATATGGAAATATGAAATATGAAATATGGATTAAAATATGGAGTATGAAATATGGATTATGGATAATAAATTATGAAATGGATTAAAAGCGTGATAACAATAGAATATGAAGGAAAGAGGATTAAAGAAATGAAAGACAAAGGAGGGATTACCTCGCTACGCGATAACAACGATGGATTATAAATGTATGGATGATATAGGAAGGGATTATAACGCGAGGGATGAATGACGAAGGGATTAGACACGTATGAAAGAGTTATGAAAAGATAATCCTTAAAAACAATAGGTGGATTATAAACGATGACGTAGTGCTTGACGAAAAAACAAATGACGTCATGGGTACCACGGTGCAAATGACGTCATGGTTATGCACAACGACCCAATGACGTCATCCATGCGACACGCCTCGACAAGACCATGAAGTTGGCCAAGTACGAAACAAGAAATTTCATGTATAATCCTTAAACAAGAGAAAAGTAATGAACAAAAGGAAAGAGGAACAAAGACGAACCCGTTCACGGGTGACGTGAATACGTTAAAAATAGATTCTGGTTGGTATAAAGGTGAAGGGCAAGACGTTGTCTATATTCATTATCAAATTCCTCCGTAGAAAACGAACCCACGTTTAAAGATGCCCGAATCTCCAAACGAATGGTGCAGAGACATGGAGACGACCGTGGAGAAAGTGGAACTTCTGATGCTGACAGAATATCTCATGATAGTGGAAACCCAATGGTGTATCAAGAACCAGCCAGACAATATATCCAGCCTTCTACCACCAGCCGACCCTCATTGCCTGGTTCATCACACAGTCAATTACCTCGACCCTCAGAAGGTGGAACGATTTTACCCTCACGTTGCCAGGGTGTTATGGTTGAAACCCAATCAGGTAGACTGCAGACTCTACATGGCACATCTACAATTCATCCTCAAAGGGGAGACGGAGGCGGAATTGGAGGCGAGACGCAGAAACATTGCGCGTCATCTGGAGGGGATCGAAGCAGCGGTACAGATTGTTTACCGTGCCATGGACGTGGACAGGGGCTTCCCACCGATGCCATGTGTCTAACTCTAATAGCCAAGATTGTACGGGAGCTATGTCCAGAGATTACAGCGAGAGGGGTCACGACATTGACCAGCCTATGTCAGAGGATAATACACCACGATGACTTTCAACGCGTCTCTATCATCCGTCTTACAGAGGACGACAATCTTAAACTATTCATAGACACTCTACTTTCAGAAGGCTTGGAAGAAAAAGATCATCCTCATCTATGGACCCGAGCTGTGGTATTATTGTGTTACTTTGACAGCGTCTACAAAATGGCGGTCGTTTCGACGGGGAAGAAGGAAGAACTTTTCTCATACTTTGTAAAGGCGATGGCGGAATACAATATTCCCTGGCGAGTTGGGAGACCAAGATCGCTGATTGGACTTCTTCCATGGCTGTTTTCACCCACGGCGTTGAACCGGCTTGTATTCTTGTTGAACATGGATGTAAATAGAATTTTTCATTAAATGTATGTGTTTTTGTTTAATTTTTTTTTTTTTTTTAAGCATTCTGAATATAAAATGAATGTAATAAAAGTTGGAATCGAAATAGCTCGTCTCGTTGTTGTATTTATGCGTTGTTTCAACATAGATGGCGGTGTTTAAGTGTACGTGTGCTTGTGTATAGATGTTTGAGAGAGAGAGAGAGAGAGAGAGAGTTATATAACGTCGTTTCCGTGAAGGGAACATTCATTGTGTACAATAGCTTATACAGCGTGAAGATCGAGAGAACATGAAAGGATTGGAGAGAGTTTTGAGAGATATTTATTCCAGCCCGGAACACCGTGCAAGTTTTGGAAGTGTACAAAAACTATGGCAGGCTGCGAAACAAAACGGTTTTCCCAATGTGAGATTACATCGTGTGAAATCATGGTTAGAGAAACAAGATGCATATACATTGCATGCCCCCGTGAGAAAAAAGTTCAAAACCAATAGAGTACAAGTGCGTGGTATGGATGAGATATGGGAGTCTGATTTGATCGACGTACAGAATTTGGGCAAATTCAACCGTGGCTATAGATATATATTGACATGCATCGACGTGTTGTCTAAATTTGCATGGGCCATTCCTCTCAAGACGAAGACGTCAAACGATGTTATTGGGGCTTTTAAGCAGATACTCGATGAAGGGCGCCGTCCTATCATGTTGCATACGGATAAAGGGAGTGAATTTATGAATAGAAAATTTCAAACATTTCTCAAAGACAGAGACATTCAATTTTTCAACACGGAGAACACCGTGAAATGTGCGGTGGCTGAGAGATTCAACCGCACAGTTATGTCGAAGGTCTGGCGCTATTTTACGTTTAACAACACGTACAAATATATATAAATGTAGTGTGTATTTATCTTGAAAGCAATTGCCTCAACTACAAGATACCGAAATTTGGAAGAAAATCAGTCAATATTATGAGAAATACACTAAATTTTCCATAAATATAATGACGTCATAATATGCAATTTTGTATTTTGACTTTCAAGGCCATTATGATGACGTCAAGATGTATTTAATGGCCTAATAAGATATGAAATCATATCTCCGACTCATACTGTATCTAAATATGAAACAAAAATGGCAGTCCTTATTCATCCCGATGTACTTTTTATAGGCATGTTTTTTGCCCATATATGCTATGTAATACATGACCTCGCGCGCGCGGATATTTATCTTGGACGGACGCTCATTCCGTTATTTATAGTGATAAAGAGATGAACATGGTATCAAATTGTTCGAAAAAATATGAGGAATATTCTGTCAATAATTATTGCAGAGGAATTATTTTTCGTTCGGCCGTGACGAACGAAAACGCGCAAAAATGCGTGTTTTGCGCGATTTTTTATGAAATGCTTATAATGGCATGAAACGTATGCAAACAAAAATTGAAATGATTTTGAGCATTTTTAAAAAATTCGCGCGCGTTGACGCGCGCACGTCAGCATACGCGCATGTTTGCGCGCATTTATTGGCCTGAAATTGACCGGACGGATATTGACCTTGTTCATGATAAATATGAATGAGAATTGTCTTTCCGTTATGAAGATATGATCATAAGTTCATTTTCACAAAATGGCGCCTGGATGACGTCACGATGACGTTGAGTCTATGAAAAGTCATGCAGTTCTAAGTTAGACTAAGATCTATCATCATGGCAAGTTTCATGATAATGGCTTTAGCGATTCTTGAGATATCCTGCGAACAAAATTGAGGAAGAATAATAAAATATTCTTCTATACAGACATAAAATAAATACTAGACTTTAATTCGTCACTTTGACGAATTAGGTGATACGTGCTATTTTGTTATCATGAAAGTGTGCCGATGATGATCTAATGATAATGATCATAAATACAATAAAGACCATGATTAAGAGTGGTATAGCGCCCCCTTCAGGTATTCGATAGAGATTTGTAGAATCAGGATTTCAGAAAAAGTCGCCTAACACGCAAACTAAGACAATTCTGACATGTCGCCTTTAATTGAAATTTGAACTATGATGATGTCATCACAATGATAAATATTGTACGTCATTCTTGTAGATAATTTTCTTAGCTACATCGTATTAAAATGTGGGAGAACATAGAGCACAAATAAGCTAGATAGTGCTCAAAGATCAATGTCATGAAGATTCATGATGTGAACGAAATTCACCTCCCTTAGGCATAACACGCACATTAAGAAAATTCTAAAATGTGGCCTTTAATTGAATTTTGTACTATGATGACGTCAATGAAATAAAAAGTAGTGTGTATTTATCTTGAAGGCAATTGCCTCAACTACAAGATACCGACATTTGGAAGAAAATCAGTCAATATTATGAGAAATACACTAAATTTTCCATAAATATAATGACGTCACAAAATGCAATTTTGTATTTTGACTTTCAAGGCCATTATGATGACGTCAAGATGTATTTAATGGCCTAATAAGATATAAAATCATATCTCCGACTCAT